CTGGCCTCTGTGGCCACTGCACTCAAGTGTACCCAGACACAACTTTAAAAAACATTTTTCTTTTAACCAGGCTGTATGTCTTAGGCAAGTGTAAGCTCACAACAGAATTTAGAGGAAGGTACAGAGAATGCTGGATCTTCCCTGAGCCCACATATGCACTGTCCCCGTCCAGTACCCTCACATCCCAATTAGAATGATGTGTGTGTTACATCTTATGGACCTGCATTGATACTGCCTGGTAACCCAGACTGTGGTTCACATTGGGCTCCCTCTGGTGGGTGTGTATTTTGTGGGTTTATACAAATGTGTCAGTATACATGTTTGACAGTACAGTGTCCCACACAGAACTATCACTGTCCTAAACCGTGTGTGTGTGGGGGGGGGGGGGATTCCGGAAGCTCACAGTGTGTGAGGAAGTGTCATCTGTAAAAAAATTATCCAAAGAACAAATGACTAATTTGAGGTAAACACTAGTGCTGGCACAGGCTGTCTCCGAGCTCCTCGAGGGGCCTGTTTCATAGACACAGAGTTCCAGGTGACACGAATCATTGCAGCCATGTGAATCATGCTACGAATCACCCGAAATCATAGTGCCCTGACTCCTTGAACATTACATTCCCTCGTATGAGTGTTCGCATCAGGGGAGAAGAAAAACCTTTTAGAGTTACTGTTGGTCACTGTTCCATTGAACTCCCTTCCATAGCTCTTTTGTGTGTGCCTTGCCTTCATGTATGTATGTATGTGTACCACATGTGTTCAGAGGTCAGAAGAGGGCATCAGATCAAATTATGTGAAAGTCCTGCCTATATGACTGATTCTCCTGCAGCTCCGTTGCATCTGAAATCTCAGGTGGAGGTCTTCTCTTTCTCTCTCCCTCTCTCTCTCTCTCTCTCATGTGCATGCACGTGCGCACACAGGCACACACACACACTTATGCACAGGCACACACCAGAACTTGAGCTTGATTGTGTCTGTCACAGTGACAGACATTTGCATGTGTCTTTGGTGAGGGTCAGTGCTGCCTGTTCCAGAAAGAGGATCTGTGGATGGGTGGCTGTGGGCCAGCTAGCCCAAAGACTGGGCTCTCAGGAGGTAGCAGTTGGGTCTGCTCAGGTGGGGCTAGGGTGGGGCAGATGTAGGACAGGGGGACAGGTGAATTTAAACCATAATTAATGTTTTGTTACTTAACCTCCAGCTGTGTAGAGTATAAAATTAAGTTGCCATGGGTCTGGAAACGACATGTTTTAAAAAGCCTGAAGTGACATAGCTCATATTTAAACTGGTCGTTTTTCTCTCCTCTTAGTCATCTGTGTCCTATCACCTGTTCAGAGAACATGACACAATTTAAAATGGACCCCCTCTTGTTGAGGAAACATGTAACAGTATAGTTATTTTAAATTGTTTGTAAAAAGGGGAATAATGGAAGGCTTGTGGTGGCCCTTTACCCTGGTAGCTCAGTTCCCTCACCCTGTTGTGTCTGCCACACACACAGTACAGCCAGGCCTTGTTTGGACATTACATTAGGGTGAGAAAAAATTCCCCCTAGCTAAGCACATCTGTAATAGCCTTGTGCTTATCCACCTGGGTCAGAGAAACAACAGTAATTTGAACAAGAAGGTTTGGGATGTTATTTTTATTTTGTTTTTAAGGTTTATTTACTTTTATATGTAAGAACTTATTTATATATGAGTACCTTGCCTTCCTGTATGTATGTGCACAGTGCCCGTGTGCCTTATACGCAAGGAGACTAGAGAGGATGTCAGAACCCCTGAAATAGGAGTTAATAGATTAGATTGTGATGATCCTCCATTTGGGGACCAGGAACTGAACCCAGATCCTTTGCAAGAGCATTAAATGCTCTGGGGGAAGGGGGTGGTTTTTTATTGTTTTTTTGAGACAGGGTTTCTCTGTGTATCCCCAGATACCCTGGAACTCACTCAGATCTTCCTGCCTCTGCCTCCCGAGTGCTGGGAATAAAGGTGTGCACCACCATTACCATTACCAGGTTTATAGTCCCTGGTTTTAGTAATTTTTTTATTTAATTTATTTTGGAAAGGATAGAGAGTGGGAGATGGGTGTGCCCCCCAGTATGTGTGGAGATTAGAGGACAAATTGCATAAGTCATTTCTGTCTGTCCACCGGATGGTCAGGCTCTTCTATCTGCTGAGCTGTCTCCCTGGTCCTGAACAAAGAAAGTTTGGTATAAGAATCATTCACTGTAACAGGAGATTGGGGTAACCATGGGTTGGCTATTTGAAAAGGAAACTTTAAAATATAGAAGTAACAGATTGGAACAGGAACAGCAGCCACAGGACCTTGCACAAGGCATGCCTATGGCTTACTGCAAGACAGAAAAGCCACACTGGTGGAACTTGCTGGAAATTGAGTTTCTAAGATGCCTGAGGAAGCTGCTCTGGGGAGGTGAATGAAGGTGGTCCCTGGATAGTGGCAGAGCAGGTACCAGGGGCCAGGAAAGACCTATGCTGTGGGGGCTCCCAGGTGACACCCAGAACCAGGAAGCACAGCTCTCTTGTCCTGCAGTCTTGTTTCTACTTGTATTGATTCGCTTCCACTGCCTTCTCCTGAAAAGCTTACCATTGCCCCAGTTAAGAGACCCAGACCCACTTTCACAGAGTCGGCTAAGAGGGTGAATTGGGAATAGAGGGCCAATGCCAGCTGAAGAAGGAGTTTCTTTCCAGCCAGGTCCTTGCAGCTTTTTAGTCCCAAATCACACAGAGGCCTGTATTAATTATAAGCTGTTTGACTGATGGCTCAGGTCTTATTGACCAGCTGTCTCTTAATTATTATCCCGTTTCTATTCACCTATGTATTGCCACAAGGCTATGGCTTACCTGTAATGCTCCAGCATGTTACTCCTTCGGTGGCTACATGGCATCTCTCTGGCAACTCTGCATTTCTCCTCCCAGCATTCTCCTAGTCTGGTGGCCCCACATATTCTTCCTGCCTGGCTATATTAGCCGAAACGGTTTTATTTATCAACCAGTAAGAGAAACATATATTCACAGCATACTAAAGGACATCCCCCATCAGCCACCAGCACGGTGACTCTGACATATGTCAGTAGTGATGACATCCCAGGTGATAGGTTGCTAGGAGACATGCTTGCACATAGTGAATTTGGGAGGCTTAGCTATTGCTCATACTGTCTCTTGGCTGGAGATTGCCTGAAGCTTCATTTTTAGTACCAAGCATACACATAGACCCTACAGTGTCGAAAGTAAAGGTCCAGTAAATCCTTAGCTCAGTAGAGACTGTGGAGTCAGTAAGTAGTCAGGGATTCAGTGCCAGAGAGAACAAAGCATCCAAATATGTGCTTTATATTTACTTTGGAGACATACCTTCCATCTTCCCAAAGATCTGCAGGGGCCTTCTGCCCTGGAACCTGGCTGGGATCCAGGGGTTGCTCATCACCATCAACCTTTGCCTCCTTCACTTTCCTGAGCTCAGTGACAATAGCTTCGGCACTTTGGTTGGTTGGGACACATTTCCCAGCCACATTCTCAGAAAGGTTAGTAAGTTGTTTGATGACTGTGTGCTTAAAAATGCCTCTGCTCTATGCTGCTCTTTTGTTTTGTTTTGTTTTTGTTTTTTGTTTTGTTTTTTTTTTTTTTTTTTTTTTCAAGACAGGGTTTCTTTGTGTGGCTCTGGCTGTCCTGGAATTCACTCTGTAGACCAGGCTGGCCTCAAACTCAGAGATCTGCCTGCTTCCGCCTCCCGAATGCTAGGATCAAAGGCAGGCACTACCACTGCCCAGTTCTCTATTCTGGGTTTTTTTTTTTAAATCTCATTTGGGTTGTTTGTTTTGTTGTTGTTGTTGTTGGGGTTGTTTTGTTTGTTGTTTGTTTCTATGTTTTGGGACAAGGTTTCACTATGTTACCCTCCCTGGCTTGGAATTTACAAAGATACACCTGCCTCTGCCTCTCAAGTGCTGGGATTAGAAGTTTGTGCCACCACACCTGGCTTTTCCCCCACATTTAAACAGTTTGGTTGGCTGCCAAAATCTTACTCAGAAACTCTTTTCCTTCTGATTCTTGAAGCTTTCTCCCTTGTATCACATCTTCCTATTTGACAAGTAGGAAGCCATCCTGACCTTCATTCCTTCCTTTGCATCCGTTTTCTTTCTAAGAGCTTGTAAGAATCCATTCCTGTTCCCAGCATCCTTTGGCAACATGATGATATACCTTGGAACAAGTCTGTCTTTCTTCACTCATGAGTATTACTTACTAGACATTTTTTTCCTTGACTTGGAGACAACCCTGTTTAAATGTTTAACCTTCTGAATTAATCTTCCAATTTTCTTAATATAGCTCTCCTTTTTTCTAACTTTTTCTCTTTTTTGAGACTTTATTTATTTTTCTTTTATGTGTATATATGTTTGCCTGGATTTATGTCTGTATGTCCCATGCATACAGTACCCAGAAAGACCAGAAGAGGGTTCCACTGGCTTGGGACTGTAGACACAGATGGTTATGAGATGCCATGTGGATGATGGGAATTAAACCTAGGTCCTCTGAAAGAACAGCCAGTGCTCTTAGCCACTGAGGCCTCTCTCCAGCACCTTTTTTTTTTTGTTGTTGTTGTTGTTGTTGTTGTTCTTAGTTAAAGACAGTGTCTCGTTGCATATCACTGGCTTTCTGCTCTTGCAGAAAACCTCATTTCAGTTTCTGGCTCCGGAATCAGTTGTCTCAGAACTACCTGTCACTCCAGCCCCTGGATTATCTGAACCCTCTGGCCTCCATGAGCACCTGAACACATGTGGACACACATGCACATAATTAAAAGCAAACCCTTAATGAGATTAAGTAACATGTGTGTACTAGGGCCACCAGTGTTTTTGAGCTAAAGCTCTGTATGTTGATCCACTTAAGTAGAAGTATACTTGCTGCTCACTAAATGCTGTATTATAGTTTTTAATGCATAAATATTTAGAACTCTTTCTGCTGGTTCACAGAAATTTTACATTTTTTTCCCTTTCTTAGGACAAAGTTAAACTATAATCCTCCAAAAGATGACGGATCCACTTATAAGATTGAACTTGAAGGGATATCGGTAATGGTTATGAGAGAGATCCTGGATTACATCTTCAGTGGGCAGGTATGGTGAGACCCAGGCTCCAGATACAGCAGAGGCTTCCCAGCTTTCAGAGCGGTACTGCCATGTCATCTTCTGCCATCAGGGGCATCTGTTGGCATCTTCCTGGCGGTGACATACAAAAACAAAGATCATAGAGCAAATCCCAGCTTGTGCTCTTCTGAGCTCCAGGCTGGGATTGGAAGAACAGTGCACCCTCACTACTGACTCTTGCCACCACGTCTTGAATCTGATCTTGCACAACACCCACCCTGTCAGAACCTTCTCTGTCTGCCTGGAAACAGGAGCTCCTCTGGGCACTGGGACTTGTTCTATAGAAAGTTTCCTATGGTCATTGCCACGAAAGGCACCTCACATTGAAAGCCACCCTTGTAGTATGCACTGGTGGCCCTGCCCTTCAGCCCACCGTGCCCTTCACCCCACCCCTGCCCTTCACCCCACCCTGCCCTGTCTTCCTGCATCCCCTCTGCTCTTTGTGCCACATTGTTTCTGGAGATGTGGTATTACCCAGGCAAGAAATGGTAAGCGACTAGACTGCTTTCTTTTCCTTGCCTTCTAACCCCGTCCTCTTTCTGTAATTTAAGTCCTAGCATACAACTCTTATGCCGCTCAGCAGGGCTACAGAGAAAGGTTCAAAGAGCTTGCTGCTCTTCAAGTCCCAGCACCTGTAGCAGGGGGCTCACAACCACCAGGAACCCTGACTCCAGAAGATCTTATGGAGCAAACACACACATACATACACACAAGTAGATAAAAATAAATCGTAAAAACGGCACACTCTTAATCCCAGCACTCAGGAGGCAGAGGCAGGTGGATCTCTGTGAGTTCGAGGCCTGCCTGGTCTACAGAATGAGTTCCAGGACAGTCAGGACTGTTCCACAGAGAACAGTTCCTCCGGGACATATCCCAAGAAAACAAAACAAAAAAACAGAAAAGAAGTTTCTTTTGAGTATTTTGGCCAGAGAGCAGAGTCGTACATTTAGGTGTGTGAAGGTGTGTTCTGCCCCATTTTCTCCAGGATCTTACTCCTTGCCCCTCTGTTGGACCCTTCTTCCTCCCTGCTGTTCCCCCACCTCCCCTGTTCTGAAAGGCCTCTTTTTCCCAGTAGTTTGGGGTATATTGCCCATCTTTTCTAAATGCATTCGTTCTGTCCACACACTCAGGTAATCTAGTCCTGCTGAAGTGTGTGATGTGATTTCTTAGGAAAACACAGTTTAAGGGACTCTTTTTTCCTTAAACACAAGCCAATGGGTGTGCATGTGTGTGATGGTTAAAGTGAATGAAGCTAGAGTCCTTTTAGCATGGCCCCTAAGATCCTAGAAGCACTCCAGATGCAGGCATCTGACCAGCCAGGTCTGACTGGCAGGGTGGAGTCAGTGCAGTTATGAGCATTGCAGGTGATGGGCCACTGAGGGCATGCTCTGTGCAAGCTTCGGGTGCAGCCTGGAGACTGTCTTCAGACTGACTGCTAGGATTTGTCCTAGTTTAAACTTTAGAATCCAGTTGACAGCTTAAGCCATGACAGACTTCTACATTAGCTGTTTGCTTTCATTGAGATGTGATTTAGTGTTTCTGCATGGGTTTGTATCTGCAGCTGTTCCCTGCCTTCTGCTGAATTTAACATTCTTGGGGCTGAGATGTGGCTGAGTGGTAGAGCTCTTACCTGGAATGCATGAGGCCCTGGGTTCCATCCCAAGCAGTGCAAAAAAAAAAAAGTAGAAATAAAAGAAGAGGAAGAGGACAGATGGCTCAGTGGGTAAAGGCTCTGTTGCCAACCCTGATAACCTAGTTCGTTCTGAAGAAACCACATGGTAAACAGAGACCATCCATTCCTGAAAGGTCCTCTGACCTCCACAGGTGTCCTGGTACACATGCACCTACACACATTGTCTTAGTCAGGGTTTTCACTGCTGTGATGAAACATCATGAACAAAGCAACTTGGAGAGGAAAGGATTTATTTGGCTTAAACTTCTGCATCACAGTCCATCATTGGAGAAAGTCAGAACAGGAACTCAAACAGGGTGGGAACCTGGAGGCAGGGGCTGATGTGGAGGCCATGGAGGGGTGCTGCTTACTGGCTTGCTCTCATGGCTTGCTCAGACTGCTTTGTTATAGAAGTCAGGACCACCAGCCCAGGGGTGGCACTAGCTCCCCCATCAATCAGTAGATAAGGAAATGCACTAAGGCTTCCCTATAGCCTGATCTTACAGAAGCCTTTTCACAGTTGATGCTTCCTCTTCTCTGATGACTTTAGCTTGTGTCAAGTTGACATGAAACAAGCCAGCACACATACAAACAAACAAGAAATCCAATCAACAAAAAAAGATATAAAAAGAAGAAAAGTTAGTAATATCCCTAGCAAGGGAAATTTTCCTCACTTAGTATATTACTAACCACAATTCTGTGCTTAGTTGGTTTTTTGGTTTTTTTTTTTTTGGTTTTTTTTTTTTTTGTTTGTTTGTTTGTTTGTTTTCTTGTTTGGTTAGTTGGTTTTTTGAGACAAAGTTTCTCAGTATTACTTTAAGCCTGTCCTGGAACCTGCTCTGTAGACCACACTGGCCTCAAACTCACAGAGATGTACCTGCTCTGCTTCCCGAATGCTGGGTCTGTGCTCAGTTTCTAAGGCAATGGGTAATAACACATCTTAAAATCTGTAGTATGAAAATGTATAGGATGTGGTAAAATGCTTCTTGCTCGACCCTGGACTCTCTCATTTCTGAAGCAGCAAAGTCTGGGGGAGCTTGGCTGTGGTATGTCATTTTACAGTTGCATGGAGAAGTGTGAGACAGGGAGAGAACAATGCATCAGACAGGACACTGGAGAAGACCAGACTCACAGTAAGGGAGACCTGTGCATGAGGGATTTATGCCAGTGGGTAGGTTGAGGCCCACATGCTTTGGCATTAAGTACAGACTGCCGAGGAGATACAAAGCACCCACTTGGCAGACAGGAACCCCCGTGTGTCTAGAGATAACTCCAGTTTCCACTAACAGCAGTACTGTTCCTAAACACTCAATCTGGTTTTTGTGTGAATTGAAAATGTGAATACAAGGGTACATTCCCTCAACAGGAAGAGTGTAGATCGTGTTGGCACAGGAGAAGTCCTGGACAGGTGAGCAGGTTAGAGTCAGACACACGTGCTGTGAGAGAAGGCCCCTTGGTGCCTCAGACTCTTGAAAGATGTGCAGTATATGGTCAACACCGCCAGTCATCTTTGACCTCCAACAGTGGGAATTTGAAGGCAGGAGAAATTAATTGTTAAGAGTACTTCCTACTCCTGCAGAGGACCTGAGTTCAGTTCCAGGCATCTCACAACTAACTGCCTGTAACTCCAGCTCCAGTGGGATCTAATGCCTCTGACCTGCAGGCAACCACACTCATGTGCACATACTCATGATTAAAAACAAACCTTTAAAGATAACGAAAAAAGTAGCAAATTTCCTGTGGACCAGAACTGGGTTAGTGGTTTGGGTTTGACGACTGCATTCAGATATAAAATGCTTATGGTCCTCTTATAGATCAGGCTAAATGAAGACACGATCCAAGATGTTGTGCAGGCAGCCGACCTGCTGCTGCTGACGGACCTTAAAACCTTGTGCTGTGAGTTCTTGGAGGGCTGCATTGCTGCGGAGAACTGCATCGGCATCCGCGACTTTGCGCTGCACTATTGCCTGCACCACGTGCATTACCTGGCCACGGAGTATCTGGAGACTCACTTCCGAGATGTCAGCAACACAGAGGAGTTCCTGGAGCTGAGTCCGCAGAAGCTCAAAGAAGTGATCTCTCTTGAGAAGCTGAACGTTGGCAATGAAAGATACGTGTTTGAGGCGGTGATTCGGTGGATAGCACATGACACAGAGATGAGAAAGGTACCTGCCACTCAGGACATGGCCGCTTATTGACTTTGTGTGATGGGAGGGGTGCATGTGAAGGCAGAGGCCAACCATTGATGATGTCCCTTAGGAACACTATCCAATCTTGGAGGGTCTCATTAACTCGGAGCTCACCAATTAGGTTGGACTGGCTAGTCAGCAAGCCTCAGAGATCTTCCTGCCTCTGCCTGCCCAGCCCTAGGGTCCAGCCATAGTGCACATCACCATGCCCAGCAATCTTACATGCACTCTGCATTCTGGAGATCAGGCTCAGGTCAGCACACTTGAACGGCACGCACTTTACTGAGCCAGCCCTTCATTTATTTTAAATACAAATCAAAGTAGTTTGTCTTCTCCATCTTGAAACACTCACCAAGTTTTTTGTGAACTAAAGGGTATCTGGAAAACATCTCCCATCTGCTCACACTCCCAGCCCTGAGAGCCAGGAGCCTGTTTGTCCAGGTTGTTCAGTCAGACTTGTGGCTGCAGATGCTCAGTTTGGAGGCTTCTTGCATTGAGCTTAATTGCCAGTGGTCCTGGCATGGACAGCTGTTCTAACCCTGTACTTCTAGCAGCAGTGGGCAGCAGGCTCCTTCCTACAGCTGTTAGAGCTTCTGAGGGCCTCAGGTGTTGACCCTCAGCTCCTACAGAGGTGAGCATTATAGTCCTCAGGCCTAGCATCTCTGAGACCCTTGGATTTTACATCTTAGGAGTTTTCTGGAACTCTTCCAGTAACAGGGCTCATAGTTTCTCTTTTTTTTTTAGCTCTTTACAGCCTTCATTATCTCCTGCACCCCAGTCCTGATCATTCTATGGATCTCTTCACCTGTCCTGCTACCGCTGTCATTGATTGCTGTCCCCACTTTGTTTTCTTCCATTCTTCCAGTCTCTCCTCTTTATGTCACAGTTCATCGTAGGCTAACAGTTAAGCTCAAAAGTAGGAATGAAGGGCCATTGAAGGATAACCTTGGGGGGGGGGAGGATTGCTCAATATTACAATGCTAGGGGACAACATAGGAGGGAAGCTTCCAACTGAATAAAAAATTTGCTTCTATAGCCAGAAAAGAAGTATGGCAATGGTGTTTGGAATTACAGCCATCCTTCAGGATTGCCAGAGAGGAGATGGCCATATTTGTGCCAGTCTCAGTGTACCTTCATAGTAATGAAAGACTGTTTGCACTAACCTCAGGCTGGCCACCAGGGAAATGCTCGCACTCCGGCCTGGGTGAAAATGGCTGCTGGGGGTTAGTGAGGTCCTGATGGACAAGCTGTCTGAAATCTGTGGCTAAGATAGTGCTTTCTGGAGCCGGAGTTCTGCTTCAGGAGCAAGCAGCTGTGGTTACCATGTAGCGTTGTCGGTTTAGCAGCTAGCAGCTGTGTGCAGTGCCCTCTCTTCAGTAGCAAGCAGCTGTGTTGTCTCGCAAAGGCACCTGTAGAATATTTAAAGCAGGACATGAGGGAAATCCAGCTGGCTGCTTAGCTGATGGCCCTCTACTCAAGGCAACTAGAGTCCGATTCCTCCAGTCTCCAACTTCGTAGCTGGTTTGGAGGGAAAATAGAAATTAAAGAGATGCTTAGCTGGGCATGGTCAGATGCCTTCACCCCAGTACTTTGGAGACAAAGATGGGCATTATCTCAGAGTTCAAGGCCAGCCTGGTCTCCATGCCAAACAGGGCTACACAGTGAAACCCTGTCTCCAATAAAAACAGAAACCAAGAAGGGAAGGGTTGTTTAGTAAAGGTTTGTCATTAATATTAGCAGTACTTCATTCAGAGACAGCCAAACATTAGATGGAGCTCAGGGAAGCCTGTGAAAGAGGGAGAGGAAAGTTGTAGGAACCAGAAAGGGTAAGGACACCCCAACCACACAGCCCACAGGATCAACTAACTAAGCTGGGCTCATGTGGACTCACAGAGACTGGCATGACAGTCACAGAGCCTGCATGGGTTTGAGCTCGGTCCTCTACATATATGCTCTGGTTTTCAGCATGGGTTTTTATGAGACTCTTAATAGTGGGCGTGAAGGTGTCTCTGACTCTTTTGCCTGCTCTTTTCCTCCACCTGGGTTGTTTGTCCATCCTGAATATGAGGGTTTGTGCCTAGTCTTATTGTAACTTGTTAGGCAATGTTGGGTTGCTATATCCAGTAGGCCTGCTCTTTTCAGAAGGAAAATGGAAGAGCAGTGGATCTGGATGGGGGTGGGGGTGCTGTGGGCTGGATGTATTGTATAAGAGAAGAATAAATAAAGCAGAAAAAATAGCAGTGCTTGCTGGGTATGGTAGCGTGTACCTTTAATATCAATACTCCGAAGGCAGAGGCAAGTGGATCTCTTTGAGTTCGAGGCTAGCCTGGTCTACAGAGTGAGTTCCAGGGCAACCAGGACTACACACACAGAAACCCTGTCTTGAAAAACAAAACAACAAGAAAAACATTAACCTCATGTCCCCTAGGAGACTCAAGTCATTTCATTTGCCCCCAAAGACACAGACTGAGAGAGCGGTCCGTGTACTTCACAGTATGTTGGGCACCTGTAAAGCTACACTCACTGTCATACGTTGCTTTTAAGTGGGAACCCAGTTTAAGCTGAAGCTGGAGTTTTCCTACCTGCAGTTGAACCTTTTGTAGAAAGTGCCAGGCCACCCTCTCACAAGGTGCTGAGTCAGCAGACAGGGGTAGAACATGGAGTGTGACAGAAAAGCTCTTCTGAGGCTTTCCCTGGAGTGACTGACACCATGCCAGGAGTGTGGCATAGGAAGGTCTGAGAAGATGGCTCAGAGGGTAAAACACTTCCAGCACAAACCTGTCACCCCGAGTTTAATCCCTGGAACCTATGTTAAAAAAAAAAAAAAAAAAAAAAAAAAGCAAGAACCTGCTGTGGTGGTTCTTTAACTCCAGATCAGGAGGCTGCGGCAGGCAGACCTCTGAGTTCTAGGCCAGCCTGGTCTGCAGAGTGAGTTCCAGGACAGTCAGGGCTACATAAAGAAACCCATCTCAGAAATCCAGATAGACAGACAGGATGCAGGGGTGCACATCTGTAATCCCAGTGCTCCTACCGTGAGATGGGAAGCACAGACTGGAGACTCACCTGGAAGCTCATGTACCAGCCAGCCTGGAGTACACAGCACAGCAGAAGCAAGAGGTAGAAGGAGAACTAACTACTAAATGTGGTCCTCTGATCTCTGCATTCCATGGCATGCCTGCACCCTCATTCATTCATTCATTCATTCACACACAACTAAATTTAAAAGAAATAAATTGTAGCCCTCTACATATCTGTGACAGTTGTGTACCTTGATCTATTTATGAGACTCCTAGCAGTGGGGGCAGGGGCTGTCCCTAACGCTTTGGCTGGCTCTTGGGAACCTATTCCTCATATTGGATTGCCTTGCCCAGCCTAAGTACAAGGGGAGGTGATTAGTCTTACCACAATTTTGATATGCTATCCTTTGTTGATACCTGTGAAACACCTGCCCCTTTCTGAACAGAAAGAGAAGGAATGGGTGGGGTGGGGAGGAGAGGAGAGGAAGGAGGGAAAACTTCTGTGGGTTGTAAAATAAATAAATTTTTAAAAAGAAAAAGAAAGAGATGGTAATTAAAGTTAAACAGGGAGGCAGGGCATTGCATCACTTTAATCCCAGCACTCAGGAGGCAGAAGCAGGGTCTACATAGCAAGCTCCAGGACAACCAGAGCTACATGAGATTCTGTCTGAAAAGTAATAAATGAGCAAGTAACAATAAGAAACCAAATAGAGAAGGTCTGGGAACAACCGCTGCGGGAGGGTCTTAGAAAACAACAGCCTTTAGTTCCCCATTGGCCTCCAACGGGGAATATAGCTTGTTTTCAATTCTTCTCTTCTTCTCTCCAATTACTTATATTTGGCCAGTTTCAGAGACTAGATTTTGGGATGCATAATTACACTATTCTTTGTTCTTGGCAGTGACTGACTCAGCTCTTGGTGATTATCTTGTAGTTTTTAAATTTTGTAAGCCTGTGAGTGCATACACTCAGAAACTACGCTTTTAGTCTCAGCTGCAATTAGGCCAAGGAAGGGAGATACTCAGAGAGGCCACTAGGAGACACAATTCCTCCTTGGCTTGTACTGTGTCATCCTCTTGCTCAGAGTGTTCAGGGTGACTGGTTACTGGGAAACAGGGCATTCTCTGTCCTTTGGAAAAGTATGTTTTAAGTTACTTGAGGTGGCCACTTACCCACAGAGGCGGTACTGGATAGTGAATTGAGATCAAGTCCATGGTCAAAATCACCCAGAGCATGTCCAAGTGTCAGAGATGACCACTGAGACCCAAAAATACCCAAAACCATGAGGTAGTTTTGAACCATGACCATTGCAGGAATTGCTATACAATTCTGGCTTTTTTGTTTTTTGTTTTTTGTTTTTTTTTTTTAACCTTGCTGATTTTCTTACAATATTAATGTTGATCTGTCCCCAAGTTTACCTTACTGTACTCATATTATCTTCCTGGTGTCTCAGTGACTATGGCTTAGTCATAGTCTGTCTAGACAGTAAGATAAATATGGCCACTTTCACTTAGGTAACCCCTTCAGTGCATGGAAAGCATGGAAAGCTTTTGAAACTCTGCAATGCAAATACAAATTGTTTGTTTGTTTGTTTGTTTTATAATTAAACCTTTATTCCCAGAGACTGTGGACAAGAACAATTAAAAAGGAGAGAACAGAGTGCCACATATCTGTAATCCTGGGACTTAGAGTCTTGAGGCAGGAGGATGGTGGGCTTGAGGCCAGCCTAGATTACATAGCAAGACCCTGTCTCAAAAGAAAGAAGGGGCTAGAGAAGTGGCTGAGCAGTTAAGAGTGCTTGCTGCTTTACAGACGACCAGAGTTGGGTTCTCAGCACACACCAGTCAGGTGGCCCACAGCCACCTAGCTCCAGTAGCTCTGATGCCCCCTTCTTTGCCCTGTAGGCCCCTACACAATAATTAAAAATTAAAAACTTTTATATAAAAACAGGGAGCTGGAGAAATGGCTCATCAGTTACGAGCATTTGCTGTTTCTGCCAAGAACCCAACTTGAGTTCCTAGCACCCACATTGGGCCGCTCACATCAGCCAGTAACTCTAGCTCCAGAGAATTGGATGCCCTCTTGTGGCCCACAGGAACCTACACACACACACACACACACACACACACACACAGAGAGAGAGAGAGAGGGGGGGGGGAGGGAGGGAGAGAGAGAGAGAGAGAGAGAGAGAGAGAGAGAGAGAGAGAGAGAATGGTTGGGACTGGAGAGCTGGCTCAGTGGTGGGAACACTGTTGTGCTGTTGCAAAGGCCCCGGGTTTGATTCCCAGCCTCCTGTGGAGGGTCACCACCTCTTGCAGCACCAGCGTGTATGTGATGCACAGACAAAATACTCATACACATAAAATAATAAAAATGAAATTAAATCTTTTTTTTCCAGAAGAATAGGGGGCTGGTTGCATATTCAGGCTGTGCTAAAAATGACAGTGTCTGCTAATAGGCAGCAGCCACCATCTGCTGAGAGTCAGGAGGTGTTTGAGAAGACCTCTGTCACCCTCTCCTGTCCCTCCTCCTCCCTCTGCAGGTCCACATGAAGGATGTCATGTCAGCACTCTGGGTTTCAGGGCTGGACTCCAGCTACCTGCGGGAGCAGATGCTGAATGAGCCCTTGGTACGAGAAATCGTCAAAGAGTGCAGCAACATCCCACTCAGCCAGCCGCAGCAGGGGGAAGCCATGCTGGCCAGCTTCAAGCCAAGGGGCTACTCAGAGTGCATAGTGACCATTGGAGGGGAAGAGAGAGTGTGAGTGTGGCAGGGGGCCTTGGGAGAGGGGTATGGGGGAAGGGGGAGTTATACACACAAAAAATGCAGGGGAATAATCTCTGTCTAAAGTATAACAGTAATTGACATTTTTAAAAGTTTAACCATCTGTAGACTACTGAAATTGACAGTGGTTATCGTGAGCAGAACTGTAAAACATCAGTTATGTATTTCCTTAGTTCACGGAAACCCACGGCCGCCATGCGCTGTATGTGCCCTCTCTACGACCCTAACCGGCAGCTGTGGATCGAGCTGGCCCCTCTGAGCATGCCGAGAATTAACCATGGCGTTCTGTCAGCAGGTATGCTCTGCTCAGGTTTAGCACAGCCTGACCAAGGAATGTGTCATTTCAGGCTTATGCAGGTATACAGATGTGATTTTGCCTGGTGTGGTACCACACACCTTTAATCCCAGTACTTGGGAGGCAGAGGCAGGAGTGTGAGACCAGCCTGGTCTACATAATAAGTTTAGGTCAGCTAGGGATCTGTAGTTGCATGCTATCTAAAAAAATAAGGGGGGGGTGACTCAGATGGTAGTATGTCCTGGGTTTGAGCTCTACCACCACCTGGTATGGTGACATATGAGTTCCAGAGATCAAACTCAGGTTGTCAGCCTTTGTGGCAAACTCTTTTACCTGCTAAGCCATTTCACCTCCTTTTTTTTTTTTTTTCTTCCTTGTCCACTTTGGCTTCCCATGTTGCCTCTGCTCTTAGAATGTCAAGAATGTCAAACCTTTCTCCTGCATTGTCTGCTTGCTTGTGTCAGCTTCTGGCTGGGTTAATGATTGCTTTTGATTCATCTTCAGCGACTCTCCAACTCTGAGAATCTATTGGTCCACCCAGGAAACTTTTTGTTTGTTTCCGTTTCTCTGTGAATCTGTGTTCAGTGTGTGGTCATTTAGTAGTCATGTGCATTTCGGGGCTGTGGTGTCACTGCTTTGCTTTCTCTGCTCATCTTCAAGTCTTTACAGCACCATTGTCAGTGGTTGCTTCTGCTCTTACTCGATGGGACCACATTTCTTGATGTGCCTGAGAGCCTTTGCTGGATGCTCTTATTCATAGAAAAATTAATGCCTTGCAACATGACAGATAGTCTGGGACTTGGATGAAGGTATTCTTTTTCTTCTATAGAGGTTTTACACGTATTGCTCCAAAACTGAGTTCAAGCTTGAACTTTCCTAAACAAGCAGGACATTTAAATCAGTTAAGCTGGCCAAGGTGGGAAAAGGCACTTGCTACCACACTTGAGGGCCCGAGTTCAATCCCTAGGACTCACACAGTGGAGACAAACAACTCCTGAAAGCTCTTCTCTGACCTTCATATGTGATCCATCGCATGAGTACATGTACAAACACACACACATACACACACACACACACACACACACACACTTGAAATATATAAGTACATTATATTTATACCATTCCTATCCTTCTCTCTATTCTCTGCAACTCTTGCCATATCCCACCATGACACATCTCAAATTAATGACCATATACATGCATACGTACATACATACATATAAAATCTCCTGAGTCAGTTAGTGTGGTCTGTGTGTGCATGTGTCTAGAGTTGACCATAGGATTGAAAACCTATAGGACTCATCCCTGAAGAAACTGGATTCCCCCTCGGTGCCCACTGACTGCCTCTATTGCTTCATGTAGAAGCATGTAGAACCTTATGACATTTCCCCATCTATGTTGGCATGTGGACTGGTGTGGCCCTGTGCAGGCAACCAAACTGTTGAGAGTCCATTGATGCAGCTTCCCTGTCCTGCCTAAAAGACACTGTCTCTCAGCAGACGTCCTGGCCATCTGTCTCCTACAGCCTTCCACCCTCCCTTCCATGTTGTCCCCAGAGCCTTACATGCAGGGCTTGTGTTGTAGATGTCCCAGTTAGGGCCAGACATCCGGTGGTCATTCATGTCCTGCATTTTAGCCAGTTGTGCTCTCTGCAGTAGCCTCTGTCTGCCTCAGACAGCAGCTTCTTTGATGAGGCTGAGAGCCACACTTACCAAGAGAGTGTGTATGGTGTCAAGTGTAATTTTAAAAAGAAGTTGCGTCTGGTCCCAGCTGGCACACTTATTCTCATGTTAACAACGTTGGGAATAAAACTTGTAACCTTGTCTGTGCTGGCCCTGTGCCCCATTGCTGAGCTCACCCCTACCTACCCCAAGAGCAGGCTCAACAGTAAGTCGTGATTCTGATTTGAATGTTGCGTGCCCTATTCCGAGTATCCCTGTGACCCTGAGAATAGATGTGGATTGAGACTCACTGAGCTAGGGAATGATGTTATGAACTGAGATAGCCCTGAGCTGCCTGGGGACCAAAGGGTGTCATCGCCTTTCTTCTCCTATCGGGTAAGAATCACCTCATAGACTGTACTGAGTAAAGTGGAGTGGCCAGGGTGACTAACAAGTTTGGATCTGTCACCAAGGAGCAAACAGACTGTCAGGGTTGGAGAGGGGAGTTCTAAATGCACCATAGCACCTGCTGACGGTGCCCTGTGTCCCCTGTGCTTTTTTCAGAAGGATTTTTGTTTGTGTTGGGGGGCCAAGATGAAAATAAGCAGACACTGAGCTCGGGGGAGAAGTATGACCCAGACGCCAACACGTGGACTGCTCTTCCACCCATGAATGAGGTATGGTACGGTTTGTCTCCGGTGTGTTTCTTTTCTCCTTGGCACTTTTATTGGTGTGGGTTCTAGTATAGGGAAAGAAGAGGCAGCCTGGCCTCCCCCTGCCTGAAGCTCTGCTTTCCTTCATCTCCCTCTCCTGCTTTTTCCTTCTCTGCCTCCTTCTGGCCTCCTGCCTAGCACCACCTCCCTCGTTGCCTCCCTAGTCTAGAGATGCCTTCTCCTCTTTCTTTGTTGTTCCCACCTCTGCACACACTGATTTCACACATTCCTACAGAGACTCTGCAAGCCAGGAGTGGCTAATGTTCTGCTTGGGCTGTGAGCTAATGATAAGCACTTCTGGCTTCTGTAATTCCTGATACTCTGGCATGCTCTGCCCTCCCTGCTGCCCATCCTGGCCTCAGACAGTCTACACTACCTGACTTTTGTCATCGTCTGTCTCCTCAGAAACCTGCTTGCCCGTTAACTGCACAGAAGCAATGTCCCTGAGCCAGTTGTTCTGGGAGGTAGTCACTCTTCTGCGCTCTGTAAGTTAAGCACAGCAGTGATGGATCACTGCTGTGCTTAACCTGCATCTTTTGTCCCTGGTCCTGAGGAGTGACTGCTCTGTCTGTTGTACTGAGGGAATCCACACATAATGAGGAAGCATTCCAAGAAGAAACAGTGTAAACAAGGTTCCCTTTTGCCTGAATGCCGGAATAAAACAATTCCTGTGACATTTAGCAAACATGGACTATTCAGTTTCTCCTATAAAGGTTTGTGATGTCTTTCCAGGCAAGACACAACTTCGGGATCGTGGAAATAGATGGGATGCTGTACATCCTTGGAGGGGAGGATGGTGACCGGGAGTTGATTTCCATGGAGTGTTATGATATTTATTCAAAAACCTGGACAAAGCAACCTGACTTGACCATGGTCAGAAAGGTGGGTGCCACAGTCTGCTGCAGCTGGCTTCTTTTCAAGCTGACTTTCAAAGTCAGTGTCTCTAAGCTTGGTTCTTGTAGTGGGAAGGGTCACACCCAGGGCCTCACATCGAACTCTGCTGGAGCAGAGTGCCCAGTGCACATCTTCATTTCTTAAATATGTCCTCAAAAACTGAGAGAGGACCAAGGCTCCAGCATTCTGTCTCTGCTAGCAGCTTACCTTCATGTGAGCAGTCACACGCCACAGAAGGAAAGAGCCTGTGTGAGTGTTTGTCAGCCTCTGAGCAGCAGTGCTGGGTTGCAGGGTCTGTAGAAGATACTTTGTGGCTAGCCTGATCTCTCCCACCTTCCTCCCTTACTCTGCAGTGGCTTCTTCTGTGAGCCTCTCTCACTTAGACTCAGAGCTGTCTGTCAGTCCATCTGTATGACTCTGGTTCATGTCATGGATATCCTGTCTTCTCATCCAACTAGACAGTTGTGACAGCATTTGAGCTGTTTATTGTCCCAAATATCTTAACTCTTGGGAACTCTAATACTGGTGAAAGGAGGTAGATGCTAGAAATCGCCTTCTACTCCCCATCTCACCCAGTGTGGTACGGATAGAACTCATGGCTTATGCAAACCAGGCAAGTGCTGTGCCGCTGCCAAATCCCCAGAATTTAAAATCTCTTGTGACAGGTTAGATTATAGGGACATTGAGATGGCTCAATGGGTAAAGGTGCTTGCTGCCAAGCGTGATGATTGGAGTTCAAGTGCCAGAACCCACGTGGTGGAAAAAGGGAGCCAGGTCCAAAAATAATTTTTTTATAGGATTATGGGCTGTGGTCCAAGGTAGTGGCAGAACACTGACCTGGCATGTTCAAGGTTCTGGGTTCCAGCCCCAACATAGCCCCACAAAAAGTAAAGAAAAGTATAGTTACTGGCTTCTTTGCTGAAGACTCCTTTCCAGAGGATTTCCAATATGTGTCACCAGCTCTTTCCATCTCCAAAACCCTGTGGGGTCATTTGAGGAGGTGTCACTGTTTTGCTGTTAAGAGCTGGAACTTGCCCTATGTATGTGACCATGCTCTCTGGGTCAGTTGCTGACTGTTCATGTCATTCTAATGACAAATGGTACCTTCCCCCACCATTGTTTTTTCCTTTCAGATTGGCTGCTATGCAGCTATGAAAAAGAAAATCTATGCCATGGGTGGAGGATCATATGGAAAACTGTTTGAGTCTGTGGAGTGTTATGATCCACGGACCCAGCAGTGGACTGCCATATGCCCACTGAAGGAGAGGAGGTGAGGCGGAGTGTGTGTGCCTGTCATGCTACTGCTGATGTATCTGCAGAGTGTGTGTGCCTGTCATGCTACTGCTGATGTATCTGAGGCCTCAGAGTAGGGCCGTATGCACATAGGACATGGCACTGCAGTTACAGCGGCAGTGAAGACTGGAGAAGTGGCTCAGTGTTAAAGCATGCAGTGTGCTACAAGTGTGGGGACCAGAGCTCAGATCCCCGGTACCCAAGTAAATACCAGGCAGGCACTGGACAGGCAGAGACAAGGGGTTCCTAAGGGAGCTGGCTAGCTGGGTTAGCCCTATAGGCAAACTGTGGGTTCAGTTGAGAGCCTTGTCTTACTGAATAAGGAACCCATGAGTCACTACTGACGTGAGCCTTGGGCCTCCATATGCACGTGTGAGCATGTGCATGCACACACACACACACACACACACACACACACACACACACGAGCGCGCGCGCCTATACACATAAAGACAAAAGCAATTGGGTTGGCATGGTAGCGCATGCCTGTTGTCACAGCACTTGGGAGACTATTGAAGCCAGAGGATTACTGTGAGTTCAATGTGGTCTATGTAGTGAGTCCCAGCCTACCCTGAGTACATAATGAGACCCTGTCTCAAAAAGACCAACAAACAAAAGAACAAGTAGTAGAGGAGTTAGGGCTGAGGTCCTGTGTTCTGTGGCCCGGCAGGTTTGGAGCAGTGGCCTGCGGTGTTGCCATGGAGCTGTATGTATTTGGAGGCGTCAGAAGTCGAGAGGACATCCAAGGCAGCGAGATGGTAACCTGCAAGTCTGAATTCTATCATGATGAGTTCAAGAGGTAAGCGGTCTTGAGGATTCTGCCCTGATGCTCACCCTCTGTGATTGGAGAGTCTTGAGGCCCTCATGCCTGTCCGTGCTCTCTGTGCTTCCAGAGATGTGTCTCAGCTTGATTTCCAGTGATGTCACTGAATTCTCTGTCTAGGGAGTATGTACATGCAGATATTTTTTCAGTGCCTTCAGAAGTTGGTGAGTGCCTTAGTTGCTTTTCTATTGCTGTGATAAGACATGATGACCAAGGCAACTTATAAAAGAGCGCATTTAATTGGGCTTACAGTGTCAGAGGGTGAGAGTCCATGACGGTGGAGCAAAGGCATGGTGGTAGGAACGGCTGAGAGCATGCATCTTGATCCAAAACTTTGGCAGCGGAGGAGAGAGAGAGAGAGAGCAGTGGGAACAGGCAGAGTTTTTTGAAACCAAAAAGCCTACCCCTAGTAACACACCTCCTTCCACAAGCTACACCTAATCCTTCCGAAACGGTTCAGATATAAGAGCCTATGGGGGCCATTCTCACTCAAACCACCACAGTAACTTAAAGGCACACCATGAAACCTGGAACCTAGCACACTTGTCACTTAGTAGCTTATAATTGGTCGCTAGTTTTTAGGGTACAGTTTTGACCCATTAATATTTGTGGCCTTTTTAAAAATATATATTATTTTGAAACGATCTCTCTATGTAGGCCAGGCTTTCCTGAAACTCACTGTGTCAGAGATCTGCCTACTTCTGCCTCCCAAGTGCTAGGGTTTTAAAGTTGTGTGTGCACCATCACACCTGTCCATAGGTGGCCTTTTATGAGGGGGCCTTCATCTGCTTTTTCTGATGTTATCCACTCAGAGGCTCCACACTGAATCCTTGGCTAGCTCAATTCCAGGCTGCTTCTGCCTGAAATGCCCCTGTTGTCCATCTAGTTAACTTGGTCCTTTCCAAAACTACACTTACCTGTTACTCTCCAGAAAGCCTTCGCAATCTTCCAGGCTCGTGCATACTCCTCAGTCCCTGATCCCATATACTCTGCACATCTCCCTGCCCTGACTCTGTAACTGCTAAGCTATGAATGTATACAGAGCAATGTCCCATGTGGTCAACCCGTATTACCCTCCAGCATCAGACCTGACTGCCATCAGTGAGATATAAAAACACTGACAGGCCAGAAATGTATTTCAGCAGATAAAGGCACTTACCATCATGCCTGATGACCTGAATTCAGTTGCCAGGACCCCCAAGATAGAAAGAGAAATCTGATTCCCACAAGTTGTCTTTTGACTTCCACACAACTTGTCATTTCACACACACACACACACACACACACACACACACACACACATATACACACACAGTACATGAATAAATGCAAAAAGAAAACCCTTTTTTGGTGTCTGGGGGGTGGGGGTTCTCTGTATAACAGTCCTGGCTGTCCTGGAATTCATTCTGTAGACCAGCCTGGCCTCAAACTCACAGAGATCCACCTGCCCCTGCCAACTGAGTGCTGGGATTAAAAGCGTGTGCCACCACCACCTGGCTAAGAAAAACCTTTTTAAAAGTGCCTGACAAGCCATGGCGTGCTTCTGTGGCAGGTGCTGCCTCCTCCTCTCACACACTTCCCCATTCATAAGCACAAGGCAGTGTTCTCACTGCTGTGGCCTGTTCAGATCCCCAGAGACACTCATGGCTAATCTGATGTGCTTCAGCCATGTTACCAGACGGGGGTGCCGTAAGATAAGGCCTCCTTTCCTACCTTTGCGATTGAGTGAATAGTGAACAGATAAGGGCGTCAGACATGCATGTAAATGTTGCCTGATCTGTCATGTACTTTCCATTAGCATATTTTCAGAGATGCTCTGGCTTCCTGTTATTAGGGGTAGACTGTCAGGGGAATTTACTAGACAGAAAATGAGGCCGTTTAGACGGTATTTGCTCTGTGGGGGTGGGCAGAGGATGTCAGAGGCTTGTTACATTTCTTCTTTGATATGCCACTGTGGGGACCAGTTGCCGCAGTACAAAATAGTGTACTAATGTCCTGCCCAGATGAGTGTGAGACATTCTGTCCCGCGTGATTAGCAGGCAGTAGCGGCATGTTTGGCTTTTGACAAAACACTGGCACAAACCTTTTTCGTGACAACTGACTCAGTACATAGTCAGCATACTGAGCTGCAACTCGTCTGAAGTTGCTTATATTTTCATTCCTTTTGTCTGTCGCCTTGGGTGGGACTCAAACCTGACTATAAAGCTTGTTTCCTTGTTTCTTGGAATTCAAAATAAGGAAGTTGCCTGTTTCATGACAGTCAGGGAAGAGTCCGTTGAAGTGAGTGATAATCTTTGTGAGATGTTTCTATATATAGGCAGTTGACATCAGACTTCGCGCACCTACTACATTGGCTCTTTAGCTGCTGTGCTGCAGAGTGGATACCCTGAATCGTGTGTGCTGTCCTAGACAGTGGGGGGCAGTCAAGGCTATGACTGAGTAGCTATGATTCAATGCTAACACAAGGACCATGCCTTTAAGCTATCCATGGGAAATGGGTCACAGTTTCCTGAGTGAACATTACTGCATGGCAAAACCTAGATTTTACCTATCTCGAACAACCTTTGCAGGAGTTGATTCTCCAGCATATATCCCAAAGATCAAACTAAAGCAACAGGCTAAGTAGCAAACACCCTCACCTGCTGAGCCATATCTGTTTGCAGTAATTGTTATATTTATGTTTATAAGTGTTTTGCCTGTATTATATACATATCATGTGTGTGCCTGTGGAGGTCAATAGAGAGCATCAGATCCCCTAGAAATGTAATTTCAGATGGCTGAGCCACAATGTGGGTGCTGAAAATTGAACTTAGACACTCTGCAAAAGCAACAAGTACTCTAAACTATCTGTTCTTCCCCTGCAGTAATTTTAGACTTCTAGAAAAGTTTCAGAAAGTCAAGGCATTCCCATGAGCCATTCATTTCACTTCTAATGCTAGCGCCTCCCTTGTCAGAATATGGATGTCAATACTAGCTTAAGTACAGACTGTCTGCAGTGTCACCTACTCTCCACCAACATGTTCCTTGTCTCAATTCAACCTGCATTCTAGTTGCTAGCAGGTGCTGTGTTTCCTTGCTGTCCCTTAGCTTATGATAGCCCCTGTCTTTCCTGACTTTGACATTTGAAGATTAGTCAGGGTTTTTTTTTGTTTGTTTGTTTGTTTGTCTGTTTGTTTGTTTTTTAGAATGTCTTTTTCAAAGGGCTTGTCTTATTTTTATTTCTGCTTTTGAATAGACATTTGCAAAGCAGGTATAGAAAGTAGCCAGTAAGTTCATGCCAAAATACCCAGTACAGCTAGACTTTAAGGGAATTCTCACTGTTACAGTGGCTCAGTCCTCAAAGGAGTGAGGGCACCAAGACCCAGTGACCATGAGCAGCTGGGATCCCATGCCTCACTAACTAGAAAACAGAGCAGCCTAAGAGGGACATTTTCTCATCACTTACGTGGCACATGACCTTCCTACATAATCCAGCAGTTCTGTAAGTCCACCAAAAACCAGAACCAAACAAGGCTCACCTAATCTCCCTTGTTTGTAATACACCTAATGCCAAAAGGCATCCAGATGGATACAAGTGTGATGTGGCTTTAACAATAAGCATACCCCTGGGCTGTAGAGATGCTCAGTGGTTAAGACCACTTGCTGCTCTTGTAAAGGATTGGGATTCAGTTTCCAGCGCTCACATTTGGGGGCTCACAGAGGCCTGTCTGCAACTGCAGTTCCGAGGCTTTTGACTTTGTCCTCTGACCTCTGCAGGCACTGCACTCATATGCACATACCTGCACACAAACAAACAGACATACACACACAGTTAAACATTTAAATGGGGGGGGGGGGAGAAAGCAGTAGTCTGTGAGTAACATAAGCCACACATGAATGAGTCTCAGGAGCTGTGGGACTCAGCAGAGGCAGTCCCAGTCTGCGCGAGTCACTGTGTCTGATTGAGCCTTTGCTGTCTGTCTTGACAGTAACCACAGCCAAGGTTCTTGCCAGTGGAGTGGGGGTCAAGAGTGGCAGTGTGCTGATGGCTTGCCAAGTTGTGTTTGTCCCTGCTTGTCCCCCTTAAGATGTCATTGTACTTTTGATTTCCTGAATTGTATCTGTTGGCCTTGCTTCCAGGTGGATCTATCTTAACGATCAGAACCTGTGCATCCCTGCCAGTTCATCCTTTGTGTATGGAGCTGTCCCCATAGGAGCCAGTATTTATGTTATCGGAGACCTGGACACAGGTGAGAAAGCTGCGCTGGTTTCTTGGGAACTGCTTTCAGTGGCTCAGGTGCATCAGTTCAGGCAGCTCTGTTTCCTCTCTGGGTTTAGGTACCAACTACGACTATGTGCGTGAGTTTAAGAGAAGCACAGGCACCTGGCACCACACAAAGCCACTCCTGCCATCCGACCTTCGGCGCACAGGCTGTGCAGCTCTGCGCATAGCCAACTGCAAGCTCTTCCGCCTGCAGCTGCAGCAAGGCTTATTCCGCATCCGGGTCCATTCCCCTTGAAGAGGAAGAGGAGCCAAAAGCGAGACCCTGCCCCAAGCGCATCACTTGGCTGGATGTCAGCAAGCACAGAGAAGCAGTTCCATCTTGCTGTGTGCTGGGTGGGCTTCAGTAATGGTTACTCTTAGGTGGTTTTTTAATGCTTAGAAGCTTGGGCTTCTGCTCTTGTTTGGAGACCATGTAACTTGAAAAACTACCCGGGAGGAATCAGTTCCTCCAGCCTGATGCGGCTGTAAACCGTGGAGGCTAGTGTATGTCAAAAGGAGGAGGGAGTGGGGGTTGGTGTCATATGAAATATCAGTCAAAGCCCTAAGGTGCATTTTCCCAGAAGGGAACTCTTATCTAACTGATGCTGTGCCCTAGTGTGTGTGGCTGTGGTAAAGAAACAACAGAACCCATATATGCAAGCCAGCACACCCAGCATACAAGGCTGTCCTTGTACTGTGTGTGGGGGATATAATACAGCCCCACTCAGTAAATTGAGGTTTGTCCCAGTTAGTTCCCATTTATTACTAGTGCTCTGTCTTAAGACTCTTTAAGAACTATATTCTGATGAATTGAAACTAAGATAAAACTCCTCTCTGGCAACAATCTGTCTTAGTAAAGATTCAGCCACCCAAGGAGCTAAAGTCCTCCGAAGCCCTTGTGTGAGCTTAAAGGACTTGCTCACTGTGTCCTGGGAGTTCCAGGGGTGCTGCCAGCTCGGGAGGGAGCTTGCGCCATTCTTCTTTTCACCTGGAAAACAAAACCATTTTCTACACGACAGGCTGTTAGTGCAGAGGAGATTTTAGAGTCGGGCAAATGATAAGAGATCTGCTGCGACTAAAAGTGATGAAACAACACTTTAAAAAAAAGAGCTGTCCAGATAATGTACATAGGGATCAAAAACTTCTTCATATAATCTGTCTGAAAGCACACTAAGTCCTGTTTACTGCTGCTTAGAAGTTACAGACTTGTCTTTGAATGCAGGTGTGTTTAGAATCTTGTCTTTGTAGCAGACCACTTCCAAAGCTGTTCACTGGTAGGAGTTTTAGATGACTTTCACTCCCAGTAATGTTGGGCTGGTAGAATAAACTACCTCAACTTAATTTCATCCTATTCCCGCTAATATCCTCTTCTCTTTCCCTCCTTCCCATCCCCCATTAGTAAAAGAAAAAAAAAAATTATTTAGTTGATGGAATTTATCTTGAGAGATATTTTGTTTTCCATTCAGATTATGCCACCTTGGTGTGAAATCAGGGACTTGAGTGTACTCCGTTACTTGATAGTGTGAGTTGTATGCAATATGAAATTTCTAGCTAATCTTAGTGATTGCTAAATGTGTAAGTACATCCTTTGGTTATAAATTGGAGAACAGGAATTTCTTCCAGAAACTTCCTGCGTGAAATGTTTATATGCAGTTAAAATGCATATAAAACATTAATCCTATTGTCCCACCTGTGGACCTGAAATGGCCTCTCTGCAGGGATTTCCCCATACCTGTGATTGGCATTGTGAAAGTTGCTGGAAACAACCCAGAGGGTGGATGTGAAAAGGGCTGGGAGTGGTTTCCTAACTCTGCTGAGGCCAGAAGCAACTAGGCAAAAGAAAGTCTTAAGTTTTTATCCTTTGCTCTAGATTGGATGTGCCACACATTCATGCCATCCAGTCAAACTTATTGTCATTCAAAGCCAGGCTTGGATTGTGTTGCGTATCAGCCATGTTGTGGGCACATTTCCCCATTGGGAAGCTTTCCATCAAAGACGCTATGGCAGAGAAAATACTTTTTCCTGTTGCTGAGATGGTGGCTTCAGAGGAGAGAAATTGCCAGAAGGGGAATAGACTTTGGTGAAATACCTGCACATGACAGAGCTGTGGTCTGCCAGAGCAGAGAGAAACTGATACCAGGACAGCTGTTTGCTCTGTTTTTGTTTTTGTCTGTCTGTCTGTCTGTCCTGAAGTTTAAAATTCTTCTCAGTCTACTTCAGGTCTCTCCAAGGAGATGGTTCCTTGTTTAGAGTCATGGGTCCAATGGTGATGTCATAGTGCCTGTTGACTTGGTCAGTTCACATAAAAAACAAAACAAAAAAAGAAACAAAAGCAAAAACAAACAAACAAACAGGTTTTTCAGTTCAGTTCATTGACACTGTGGCTGCAGAAATTAATGTTTATAAAAAATTTGCAACTTAATATGGGATGCAATAACAACAAAAGCTGCTAAGTGCCAAACTGTTACTTTTAGGTGAGAAAGAGTGTGTGTGTGTGTGTGTGTCTGTCTGTCTGTCTGTCTGTCTGTCTGAGAGAGAGAGAGAGAGAGAGAGAGAGAGAGAGAGAGAGAGAGAGAAACCTGCTGAAAAGTGGGGCTGTGTTTAATTTTATTATTTTGTTTCAAAGTCAATCATACCTCTTTGTAACTACTCTTATAGTGTTATGAAGTTGCTTGTAGCTCCTGTCAAGCAGGCTTGTGTTTTACTACTGCATTCATGTCTTGGTAAAGTCTGAGTGAGTGGACCTTCCCATAAGGCACTTTGACAAGGTATATGTTGCATTTGGCAACAACTGAGGCTAAATCTTAAAATCTGAAACACAAACATCTTGGGGGGGGAGTGCAATTTCTTTTCATTGGAAAGTCTTAGGCTACAGAAGTGGATCAAGGCACTCTCCTAGGCTAGAGTCTAAAGTAGGTTTGTTTGTTTGCTTGCTTGCTTGCTTGTTTCTCTTAACATATCTAAACATAGATTTTTTTCAAAGATTTAAGTGATTAATTTAAAATGAAGTTTTTTTTTTAATCTTAAGAGTGCTTATGTTCTGTGAGAAGAAAACGTATGACAGATGAGTGAATGTGTGTGCATGCTGTGCCACGTGACTTGATAAGTCTGTCTGTATATGTTTACTTTTGAATCGTAGTCACAAGCTATACTACTGTCTCCTGGTGCTTCAGAAAACCCTTGAGTCTGTCGACCCTCTGTTACATAGCTGTGTCAAACACATGCTGTGGGTAAACGTGGAGCTGTTTGTAGACAGTAGCCATTTTTCCTAGGTTTGCATCTCTCTTTCTTAGCAGGATTTTCAAAATGTATTTACCAGCTAGCAGCATGCTGTTTGATTCCTCTGAGGAGTCAGGGCTCACATCATACAGCAAGGAAAAGACTGTGGGGGCTGTGCTGAATCTTGTTTGGGTAGAGCAAGTGTTCTGTTACATATCACTGCTGCTGAGGCTGCTCTGAGCTCCAGTGGCTTTAAAGTGTCATTTTATCCTATATAAGTGGGAGAGGCCACCCCTCAGCAGCGTCTTGGAGACACATTCTCTTTATGGAGGTTGTGAAGGTAGGGCTGTCCTTGCTGTGGTGCCTCAGGTTCCCATAGGATGCCAGTCAAGTGGCTAAGGAAACAGTATTCCACTTGGTACCTCCTACCCAAGGCACTGTGCCAGGTGTCTCAGAAGTCCTCTAAGGAGTGTGACAAACAGCAATCTTACAGTAGGCGGCCTTTCCTGATCACACAGTGAGTGCTCCTGTGGTCAGATGAAGATGTAGAACTGCCTGAGAAATACCCACTGGAAAGGTAGAGCAAGACTTCTTTCTTGCAGTCACCGCCCCTTAGCCAAAAGAATGCAGAGGAAGTCAGTGATTGGTGCCTGCCCTGGATCACCCAGCAAATGCTGAGGGCCTCCCAAGAATTGTGCTTGTGTTTCTGGGAACCCTACACCCTAGGCAGAGTGCTTTCCTCCATTCTGCTGGGCTTTAAATGAGAAGCTGTGTATATAGGTGGGGTAGTCTCCTATGGAGCAGGAAATGACGGCAGAATCAAAACCTCCAAGTGCCTCGTGTCCTACTAGCACATGCCTGCATCTCCAAGTGCTTCTGTAGGCCAGTGTGGCCACGCACCTCATAATGTTCACTGTGTTAATGTTAGATTGACTTACTGCATCTTACATGGGCTTAAAATCTTTTCCATGTTTGAGGTGGGTAGGGGCACTTTCCTCTTCCTATAGTGAACAGCCAGGTGTAAGCAGCAGCCAAAAGCAGAAGCCAGGCCTTTGGGTTACCAGAGGTAGTCCAGCCGATTGAACAAGAACTTGAGTTTTCTTGACTCTCGGGTATTTTTATTCCTAAGATGTACATCACTTATAGTGTAGTTTCATCTCCCAGACTGAACCTTTCTAGCTGAAGAAACTGGGAAAGACATGCTTCTCTCTGCCCGTAAGCTGTTGGAAGTCCCAGGCTTTCCTGAGTGTCTTCTGGAATCAAGGCAGGGTTTGTACATAAAGACTGAAGTTTAATGTTTCATTGATTTGCCCCCTGCAGTGAGAGGGGGAAGGAGACTGCTCTGACGTGCTGAGGGGTCCTTCTGCCTTTTGAACAGTCCCCAGAGGCTCCTTATAGTTCACTTAGATGTCTGCATACAGTTCTGGGGTAGGGATGAGAGTGAGTGCATTGGCCCAGGTTGGGGAGGAACCTGAGCTCTTGGCTGCCAATGAAGTCTGGGTGGAGTTGAACTGTGGGATCTCCTGCATGTTTTACCTCCTGCCTGGTAAGTTCCCCTCTTTCATTTTATCACCGACAGGAGACTTAGAGGCCTTGCTTTATTATTCTTCTTCACCAGGTACAGAGAGCCACAAGGTACACCTTAGACCTTGGCGCTAAATTTCTTCAAGCTGCTCTAGGGAAGTCTCCACCGCTTACTTCATGACATTTCCTGTTTAACTGGGTGGGAATTGTTTGCAGTCATTCCCTTTTTTTTTTTTGTGTGTGTGTGTGTGTGTGTGTGTGTTTATAGGGGAAAAACAAACCCTCTTGTCAGCTACCTCATGATGTAGCGTTGAATTTGGTTCCCCGACAGATGAGAAGAATTCAGCATTCTGTTCTGTATCAAACTCCCAGAAGCAAGCAGTGAGTAGCTTTGAGATGATCAATCCTCCAAGGCATGCATATTTTCCATTTTCCTACTTTTTTTAATAGGCACTTTAAACCTGGAGGAGTGGTAATTCTTTTGGGGCTACGGCAAGGTGATTACTTGAAACTCAACTTGAACTTGAAAGAGTCATTTAAAAGGCTATGTTTTCTTGTAGCAGAAAAGTAGCACATTCTCACAGCAGGGCTGTGTATAATGGAGGGCTTCATTTCTGTCCTTGTTAGGATCAGAGAAGAGAGCGTGTGTCTGTGATCCAACATGGTGTTTGGAACGTAGGTGCTTGCGGCTGCTGTTAAGCTTCTTGCAAGGTGCTGTTGATTCCCAGGGACTTTTCCTTTCATTGGCTGCTCGACACATTCTCTTCTTCCTTCAGTCCTGGTAGCACCAGATGTCAAAATGAAACAGATATT